GAGAGAGAGAGAGAAGAGAGGGGAAAAGGAGAAAGAGAGCAAGCAAAAGAAACACAACTCCTGCATGTTAGAGGACACATTTGGAAGAGGGAATGCAGCTGGATTTGTTTAAATTTTCAAAACACCAGATGGTCCCACAGCTTTTACACGATGCTGAAGATGTGAAGTAAGGGTGTTATTCATACGCAGTATGCAGTATTCAGATCTATTACCACATTTAATTCAGAACCAAATTTTTAGAAAGAACTAGTAAGCTTATTCTAGGGTGCCTAACAAAACAGCCAGCAATTGTTCAGATGTTAAAATTCAGACAGGAATTTCCCAAATCCATAAGCCTTTTTGCACTCATAGCAACAGTTGTTAGTTAACGTTTGCATTAGCAGCATTCTTAGAAATTCTGGGGAAAGTATTCACTAAATAGTATTATGTCATTTAGGCAGAGACTGAGGTATCCTGACCACTGAGGTTATGGATATGCAGATGAGAAGAGAATCAAAATGTTTACATGTATCTGCTGTGATCTAAGCTGTTACATTAAACTGAGTCAGCTTAGTGTTACTCTGTCTTGCCTATTTCCACAATCACAAATATTTTTGTCACAGGTACAGAGAAAATGTGTGAATACTATTCCTGGAGAGATGTGAGCATGTCTACTCACCCCAGTTAGGAAACCAATGTCAGACCAAAGTAACGGTATCACCAAAGTCCAGCTTGGTGAACCAGTGAGTTCTTGGGTTACTGACAGGAGTGTGGGTAAGGGGTTACAAGAGCAGGAGCTATGCAAGTGCAGCTGCTCACAACAAGCCCACCCCAGCATGGGCAATGGCTGATGAAAGCTGAAAACGTAGAGTTCACTGTTGGGATCTTTGCCTCAGTTCAGCTTGCATAGGTCGTGTGCATGCTGTAATAACCCCTGTGAGTTCCTATGTGCAGTTGTCCTGTTGTGTCCGGAAAACATTGTTTCAGTGCAGTCACCCACTGCTTCTAGTTCTTATAGTCTTTCCATTCCTTCTTTCTTGATGAATCCTGAGCCTTGTGGAGAGGGGTATGGCATAGATGTCCCATGTTGAGCTGAGCACTCCACAGAAGTACCTTTCCTGGTGCTGTCAGCCTGGAACTGGATAGGTCCTTCTCTTCCCATGCCACCTCACTCGTACTTTCTAGTCCAGCTCCCACCATTTGTGATCCACTTTGGTTGTAAGCCACTGGTTCTCATAGGGGCACGTTCTCTTTTGCTTTCGTGCTTTTGCTGTGTTAGGAATTAAGCCCAGGACCTTACATTGACTAATATGCTGTCTCTTTTGAGTTGAAATAAAAAATAATTAAAAACAACTCTACTTGATCCTCTAACTACCATACTTCATTTCTAGTTGTAATTACTGCTCTTATCCTCTCTTCTCCCTCCTTTCCTCCCTTCTTTCTGTCACTCTGTCCCCATCTTTTAGTTGACCTGCTGGGAGCTTTGTACACAGCCACAAGGGAACCTCTGTTTCATACCATGACTGTTCAGTTTTGAAATCTGCTGTATCTCCACCCTCATTCTATTTTTTCAAACTATTGGGCATTAAAAATCCTGGAAGAGTAAATTATCTTAAAAAAAAAAAATCTTACTTTAAAAAAAAATTACTTCTTGCCAGGCGTGGTGATGCATGCCTTTAATCCCAGCACTTGGGAAGCAGAGGCGGGCAGATTTCTGTGACTTCAAGGCCAGCCTGGTCTACATAGTGAGTTCCAGGACAGCTGGGGCTACAGGGAGACCCTGTCTCAAAAAGACCAAAATTTAAATCTTCATTCAAAAAAAAAAAAAAAAAAAAAAAAAAAAAAAAAGCTTCTTAAATCTCAGTCAAAAGAAGACTGCATTATAAATGTATGTTCCTTGAACAAAGGTGAGCAATACCATAATGACCAACAAGTATCTCAGACCTATGTAAAATGTGTTGATGGAGTATGTTCACTAACTGCTTGGAAGGTGTATGACTTTCTGATTTGTCAATCAAACACATTTTCTCTAGGCTCAAATTGAGCCATGAAATATTTAGGATTAGCTATGTGCCATGCATGGTTATAGTTATCATCAAGCTATAGAAGGCATACTTGTAAGAAACTTAAAATGAGGGTATTTTGTAAAAGTAATAGAACAGTTTTCAAGTTACTATAATTGAGGAGTAACTATCCCATGAAATTTGGAAAAGTTTTGCAAAGATAAGCAGGTGCCCGTATATTAAAACTTTGCTGTATTATGTTGGATACTTAAAATGTTAGTTTTGCCTTACCATAACAAATATGTGGATAATCGTTTTATAACAAGAAAGAGGTTATTTTGACT